TTTTCGCAGTAAAGGCGCTGGGAGCGGCCAGGAGTGCGTTTAAAAGGCCACTTTACGTGGTTCAGCTCCGCGCTGGCGCCGCTCCCCTGTTGCTTTCTCCCCTCCGCCGTTTGCAATGCGATCTCCCTCTATTTGTGTCGTTTATTCCCAGATTCTTGGGTATATGTGTGTGGGGGAATGCATTATATTACACATATATATAKAGAAATATATATATATCATTTGTCATTCCTCGAAGAGATTAAACAAGGGAAACCTGGCATCGTTTTCCAAAATCCCGATAGCAAGACAAATCTTTTGAAACTGAATAATGGGTGGCGGAAAAAAAAGATTCAAATCAGTTAATGTTGCTTTGCAATATTAATGTTAATTATATATATACATACATATATATATATATATATATATATATATATATACACATATAGCCCACCCTGCTTTCATTGGCTGACACCTTTGATACATTACACACACGCTGCGTTAGGGAGCTTGAGGCATTTTGGGCTATATTTGGTTAATTTGCATCGTATCTATGTCCCCGTTAAAAATAAATAAATAATAATTTTTAAAAAGAGGAAAGAGAGAAAGTAAAAGAGAGAAGGATTTCCGTCGAATTGCTGATATATGCATCCTTTAACACCCTAATTTCTAACATACTGTTTCCTTGGCAGAATACCTGTTGCTATTGCACATCCCCAAGGAGAARCGTATTTTTAAGAAGTTTGTCCCCCCTTCTCCTTTCATATTTTATTTTTTAAAGAGTAGCAGTTTCTAGGGCAGCGCCCGAGAGCTTGTTCTCCTTGTGAGATTGTTTAGACACCAAAACTAATAGCACAATTATTATTCCTGCATGACATCATGCCAACACAAAAAGGAAAGCAGGAAGATATGGACATATTAAAATCATTTTCTTGGAGATCGTTCATTTGGAATTAAATTTAAACTAGATTAGATCACTCACTCCACGATCTAAGATCAGCACAAACAGAGCCGTTTTTTTTCCCCTTCATCTCTTTCATCTTCCTCCTCTCGTAAGGATTATGGGCAGGCTTCCACGTCTGCAATTGCCAAAAGTGACAGACGAAAAACTCAAAATTTGGGAAATGTCCCTGATCTAAACTCCTAGTTATTGAGGGAAAAAAATGTTTTGTTGTTTAGTGCTTTATGTAGTCGAGGGGAAAAAAAAAAGAAAAAAGAGGGGGGGAGGGGGAAGGTATTTTAACCTTCGGGAGCACATTTTGGAGACACTTTCAGGTCTCTGATGCTTTTTACAATTGTGAAGGACAACGGTCTGCCCTGTCTTTCTACATGTCACAAACATCAAGTTTCTACCCTGTCTTTTGGGTGTCTTTCTCCACGTCACAACCACCTAGGTAGATTGCTGCTGACTGCAATGTAATTTTTAAAAAATATATGGAATTAACTCATGGCATAGGTGGGATATTTGGACACTTCTCCTTCATATGGGGTTGCTTTGCATGCAAATTCATACACACATTTTCCATGCAAATGCCCCAATATATATAAAAAAAAATATATAAATATATATATAAATATATATATAAATATATATATACACAGATATGCATATGTATATAAAATATATGTATTATATATATTTAAACACATAATCATCAGATAATATTTTTTTGCATAACTATGCACACATGTACAAGCACTGATGCACTTGGAGATAACTGTGCAGTCCATAAGACATAACTTAGGGGTTATTCTCTGTGCCTGTATCTGCAGTATTTCTTGCTCAGCTTCCCCTCCTGCCAAGCCCCGGAGAAATGCCAACACAAACCACAGCTATCGTAAGTTGTGCTCCTGGAGCCTTCTGCAAGAAGAGATTTAATGGAGCAGGTTGTCACCCTGCACGTGCACGGTGGAGTGAAGCAGTGGTGATGGATGCGATCACACCATGGGAGGCAACTGGAGATCAGCTTACCCTCAAGATAAAGATCCCTCCCAGACCTGTAAGCCAGACTTGCCTTATGCCCTGGAACAGAAGAGTCTGCAGCCCTTCCAAAACTTATTTTTATTCATTTTATCTATCCATGCTCTTATATAATTTCCTATAAATGCCTCATCCTTTTCCTTAAATGCAGTACCATCTGCATTGGCATATCCCTTTTCTTGCAGGGAAACACTTTACTTACTTATTTATTTATTCATTTTATTTATTTATTTATTTATTTATTTATTTATTTATTTATTTATTTTTCATCAGGAACACTACCCTGGAGGTAAACAGTGCATTTCCTTCTAGGATCAGGCTTCACACATGTGACAACACTGCAGGATGGCATTGGTGAAGGGAAATCTGCCCTTTTCACTGGATGGAGGAGCTACCGACACCAGACAAGTCCAGTACATTTTATGCGTCCATATCCTCCTCTTTTATTCCCCTTCGTGTCGAATAAAATTAAGCATAGCTCTCTAGGAAGGCTAGTACAAAGGTGATGCATGGAGCAGCAGCCAGCCATGCACCCATTTGCATTGACATCTTGGAAAGTGCRTAACATGAGGGCAGAGAACACCAAAAACATTCACATCAGCTGCAGCAGCAGCTGATGGCAGTCAGGTAAGTAACCACAGAGGATCTCTGTGCACAACTGCTTCAAGAGGCTCCTGGGGCAATTCCACAACCATGTCATGYTGTTGCATCATCCTGGGGGAAATGCCACTGGGTTTCCAGTGCATTCAGCAATCCAGCTACCTTCCAGTCATTGATTAGCACCGTTAGTTATTATTTACAGAGTGACTCATCCTTTTCAGGCTGAGAAATGCCCAGTAGAAATGCTGCAGGAAAGAAGTTCTCCCTGACATTGAATAGACCACCCAACTCTCTCCTTAGTGTTGGATAGACCACTCWGCTCTCCATAACATGGGTACACTGCTCAACTCTCTCCATAATGTTGGGTAGACCAACATTTGCTCTCAACACGGCAGCAACCACATCAAGTGAGAGAGCTGATAGATCTCTCCAGTAGACATGTATCTCCTTGGTGGCCACGTACGCACACCTGGGTGCTTGGCATAAGACTGACTTTCTAGATATTTCATGGCCAGGGACCCTTAGTCATTGCAAACGCATCATGTGAAGAACAAGCAACCAAAGTCTGAAAACACAGAGGAGGCTCATAAGGAAAATTAGAGTCTTTTACTGAACTAACTGATACTGCTGTAAAACAAAAGTAAACCAA